CTTGCAGGGACCAGAAAAAAGGCAGCTGATGCTGAACTCAAATGACAGTGCAGGATCACAAGCTGTGCAATCTTATCAGTGTGCTGCAGTAAAGAGATAAATAAATATATTTTAAGTGAAGGAAGAGTGACAGGTGAAAAATGCTCTGTAGGAGTCAGTCACTTCCATTTTCACCTTGAAATAACCCATTTAAAGTTTACAACAAATTTTCTTGCTTTATCACTTTCTGTAAACATGCTGAATGAAATCTAGAGCATCTTTTCACAATATAAGAGCAGATGCACAACCAACAGTCCAGTTATTTATGTAGAGAATCATTATCCCTATCTTCCTTTTCCTGGCATAAGCTTTGACACTTTGGGCACAAGATGTACAGGCACTGAATTCTCATCTGTAACCCTCAACTATTTCTCCATCCTGGGAGTGTTCAGGGCCAGGCTGGATGGAGCTTTGAGCAACCTGGTCTAGTGGAAGGTGTCCCTGCCCACAGCAGGGGGGTGGAATGAGATGATCTTGAAGGTCCTCTCCAATCCAAACCCCTCTGTGATTCTGTGATGAAGACAATTGTTTAAACACAATAACAGAATGCATTTGAGAGAACACTCATTGGCACAAGGTTTATGGGTATGAATATCTAAAGGAGGGTGCCAAGAAGATGGAGCCAGGCTCATCTTGGTGATGCCAGGACAAGAGACAATGGGCAGAAAGTGATGCACAGGAAGTTTCTCCTGAACATGAAGAACATGAGCAACAACTGTGCAGGGACTGGACACGGGAACAGGCTGCCCAGAGAGGTTTTGGAGTCTGCCTCAATGGAGATATTCCAGAACTGTCTGGACTCAATCCTGTGCCACACGCTCTGGGGTGGCCCTGCTTGGGCAGGGAGGTTGGACCAGTGACCCACTGAGGTCCCTTCTAACCCACTCTGGGATTCTGTCCTCTGATGTAACTGGGGCCACACTGCAGCGGGTGTTTCACTGGCACACCGGCAGTGTCAGCAGTGTCACAGCCCGGCTGAGCCCCCGGCCGGAGCCCCTTTCCCGCAGTAACACCGGCGAACCGCTCCCAGGCGTCTGCAGGAGGGCTCCGCCTCAGCCGGGCCGGGCCCTGCGCCACAGTTACCGGGAGCGCACCGCCACAGCCCAGCCCGGCCCGGCCCGGGGGCACCTCAGAGCCCCCTCACAGCCCGGGGGCGGCCGGACGCGGCTCACCGCGGCCGGGGAACGGGAGGGCCGCTGTCCGCGCCGCCGCGCCCCAAACCCCAGCGGCAGCCCTGCACCCTCAGTGCCCGTCCCGCTGCCGGTGGCGCTGCCTGCCCGCCCGCTCCACTCCCCGGTACCTCCCGGCAGCCGCGGCCGGGACGCGCCGCTCTCGCCCCACGCAGCCGCGATAGCTCCGAGTAGCCCCCGCCTCGAGGGGCGGCGCTTCCGGGTCTCGCGCCGCTTTGCCTCTCGCGAGAGAGAACGAGACATGGCGGAGCGGGCGGGGCGCGCGGCGGGGCGGGGCGCGGGAGGGGGGCGGGTACGTTACTGCGCGCGGCCGCGGTGCCCACACTGCGCATGCGCCTAACCCTGGCCGGCTCGTTTCTCCTCCTCCTGACCCCCCCCCTCGCAATCTAATGGGCTCGGCCAGGGTCCCCGCGCTGCAAATGGTGGCCGAGTCCAAACTCCGCGGGAGGAGGGGGGAGGGATGAGGGAGCTGGGTGTCTGCGCTCCTTGAGGGAAGCGTCGCCATAACACCCAGCGGAGCTGGGGTGGGCTTCCAGCATGGGGAGCCCCCAGCACCCCCATCCCTTGGGACACGGGCTGCGCCGGGCCCTGGCTGAGCGTCCCCGAAAGAAGCAGCGGCCGCCCCTCCCTCACCAAGGGGAGGTGAGGGGGTCCCCGGGTCGGGGTTGGGCCCGAGCCCCCCCGGGCTCCCAGGCCAGGGTGGGAGCGGGGTGAGGGTTCGGGTTCCAAGGGCGATTTCCTAAAGCCCAGAGAGCAAACGCTGCTCTCCTGGCACGCCTTGCTCCTACGCTGTAGTGCCCATCAAACTCATTAATGGAGCAAGATCTGCCTCTTCCTGCAGGGGCTTAGAAGACATTTAAGTTCCTACTGCACCTGCCGACTTTTAGTCTGGCTTCTCCTGTTCCAGGAATGGAATTTAAGTTACGTTAGCAACAGAAGGTTGTAGCTGGTAAAGCAGCTACGGCTTGTGTAACGCGGCTGCCAACACTTGCTGTGCGGGCTGATGCTGATGGCAGATCGGCAATTCATTTGGAAGCTCGTCTACTAATTAAACTTAGATAGTATTTCCTTCATTTTAGACTGCCATCCTTCAGGATGGGGTTGCGTCTGTTGTAAAATATGTATCTGCCTCTATAAATATATATGTTCTGATACTGGATTGTCTGCCCACCATATGGGAGTCTTTCCCTGAATCTCGGCTACTTGGCCAGCATTTTGATCAAAGTATCTGCAAAAGCAGATATTGGTATCTTTCACGTCAGACACCGTTCAATGTCTCAGGTTTAATGTTCATGCCTCAGCAGAAATGTTGCCTTTAGAAAAGAAGAGGGTTTTTCAAGTGTTGCTGTGTTGAATGACCTAGCATCGTAGTACATTCCCTTTATTGAGCATTATTTTGATTCAGAGTTTATCTTCAGGGATGATAGAGAGTTACTGTTTTGCCTTAGCTCTGCAGTCTCTGGTGTTGTGCAATTTATGCAACATGCAATATGCTACACTGCCAGAAAGTAATCACCTTTCTTCCTGTGGTCACTTGAGTTTGGGGTTTTGTACAAGGAAATCTGTGTTGTTAGCAGATAAATTCAGCAGGCTGGATTACAGCACCCTGTAAATATAAGGTGAAATTTTTATTTCCCAAAAGAGTTCAGAGTCATTTTTCTTGCTCGTAAACCCAGTGCTTGAAGAGATGTTGAATCCAGGGGAAAAAGGAGGATGCATCTCCTCAGGCCACTGTAAATATCTGTGCCTTGGTATTGTAATAAAAATGTGTTGCAGGCAATAATCACCTGTGATAAATTACATTTGTAGCGTGTAAAAATTCCTCTGTAAAAAGAAAGCTGTTCAAGGATGTTTGCAAGCACCGGTGGGAAGAGCTGGAGACACATTTTGCTTGATGAGATCAGAATTTTTTTCAAAGATGACATGGCTAATAAAGATTCAGAATAGCTGGAACAGGCACCCTGCTCTTTAAAGAGTCCCATCATTTCTGTATTTGGAGGTTACCAAGGTTGCTTCCAGCTTCAGCACTCCAAAGCAAGTTTTGAAGAGTCCTCACATCTACACTGAGTGTAGAGCTGCATTATAAGGTGGAATAAAGGTGTTTAACTCAATGTTTTCACTCTGGGCAGCTTGAGCTGCTTGTCCTGTTGTGCCTTTTCTTTAGAGCTTACTCACAGCACCACAAGAAAACTTACTTGTGGGAATCCTGAAAGGTGAATTCATCCTTCTGTTGTTGCACAGGTGCTCCCAAAGCAGCCACTGCAGTGCTAGGAGGTGGCACACATGCCCAGGTGAGAAATCTGGTTCAGAATGCAGGGAATTAGGCAGGGGGTGAGGTGTGCCAAGTTCAGATTCCTCTTCAGGAACTGTCAGTATGGACTTGTCCAGTCCCTGAAAGATAATTCATAGATTTTCCCCTGATGTTCCTCTCAAAGAGTGAAACAACCAGTGACTATTACAAAAACTGTGGGGAGTGAACAAAGTTGTATTATGAAGTGTCTGATCAAAAATCCTTTTTGCTCTGAAGAAATCAGACTTCTTGCATGGCTCAGCAAAGACTGCAGCAGCATTGGGGTGTCTGTGGTGGAGACACCAGCACAGGGCAGCCAGCAGGCAGAAGCAGCAGTTTGATCAGTGACAACCTGGGCTGGACACAAAATTGCAGCAGAAGATAAATGGCATTTACAACCCTATGACTAATGTGCTGAGCTGTCCCTATGGGTATGAATATTTCAGAGATCACCCATGCTGGAATTGAGCAGTGATTCTAAAGGAACACTGAGGTTTGAAATTCACTCTTATCACCTACTATTGGCTGTTGGATGAACAGCCCTCCCCCTGCAAGCTCAAATCAAAGATAGCTGAGGACATTATCCTTATGGCACCCTCTCTTGAGATGCTCATTTCCACTTCCTCCTCTGCACGTGAGTGAATAGTTTGAAGGAATCACATTCCTCCCCGTTGAACCTGCTCTCTCTGATAAATGCCAATTAGTATCAACAGTTAAGAATTACAACTTCTGTCCCTACCAGGGAATAATTGGAATTAAGCAAGAGAAAGTGAGGATGGAAACACTAACAGTGCTCAACGCTGTTCACTCTTGCAGAGCTCTCTGCAGTTCCAGCTCTGCTGGCATGAGGTGTTACTGAGAAAGAGCATTTGTTGCTTCACCTGTGAAGGGCAAACAAGGCTAACTGTGAGGCAGAGGTGATATTCCCTGTTTTTCCTCCTGTGGGAGAATAAATCTGGAAAGTTATGATAGTAACACCCTCAGTTCCCAGAGCTTAGCTGGTAACAGGGCACTATTTATGGGCTAAGTAACAGATTGGGGCCACATTTGCATAAGAAAGATCGATGCTGCTGTAAATTGCATCTTGCTCTCTGCAATACCATAATTACACACTTTATGGTCTGTAAACATCATGTTTAAAGACAACTAAACCCAAGCACATGCTAACCTATGTGTGTCTTCACCTTACCCATGCAAGCAAAGCCTGTAACTGGTTGAGGGCACTGTGTAGCAACAGAGCTGGAGTAATTTTTAGACTTAGTACAACAACATGAAAACTGGACTGCTGTTTTTTTGCCAAATTCCACAGTAACCCTTATTGCTTTTAACAAATACACCTTTGACCCATTCAGTTGCACTGCAGTAGCTATTTTGTGCTCCAACCATGAGTTAGTGAATTGTAAAATCTACTTACCTTTGGGGTGTTGGTGGCTTTTTTGTTCTCAGGTACAGCAATGAAAAAACTTAGAGAGATGCAGAGATGTGTTCCACGTGCTTAACTGAGTAACAGCATGCACATACACACGGGGAACACTGCCAGCACTAACAGTGACATGGCTCTGGCTTCACATGACTTGTCTGGGAGGGGACAGGCAGCTCCTGCTTGGAAACACACCCCCAGTGCCCTTGCCTAAACCCTCATAAAGCTTTGACAGCAGTAATGAAAAGTGAGGAGTTGAACTCTGGGCTCTGAATAGACACAAAGGACCTCTCCTAGGCTACCATCAGCAGGTGGTGAGCAAAGAACAGGCAGCCAGAGTTCAAGGGTGCTTGAAAAGATATGATAGAGACTTTGAGGAAGTCATTAAAAGGCGATGTCCTGTCTGTGTGAAGTCCATTGTCATCTTAAAATTGTGCAGTGCTTGGTAGGACATCAAACACCACGACCGGTCCTGTGTCTGTCCACACAGAGGGGCTGATATGCAGCTGTTCAGGTGACCAGGTAAGTGCTCCTGTATTCTTTGTTCTCTGTGTTCTGTACTTTCATGGATGGTCACAGCCTTTGCTCTCCCAGGAGCAGTTTTCCACTGTCTGTGCTGTATAAAGGTTGATTTCAGTGAGGTAAGAGCTACACCAGAGGCTTCTGGAGGAGGGCACAAGGAATCCCAGGGAGCTGGGCTGGGTGGGCAGCCAGTCCATCACAGCACATGGAGCTGTTCTGAGCTGTGCCTGCCATGCAGGTCTGGCTGGTGGGAGAAGGATGCAGAGCAGGGAAAGGGCACCTGTGCTGCCTCAGCTTGAGGCTGCCTGGGCACCAGAAGTATAAGAGAACAGCAGGCATGAATAATAATTCACATGTTTAAAAAAATGGAAAAAATACAGCAGGGTTTTTTTTCAGATTATTCTCAGATTATATTGAGTATTTTAAAACATGACTTAGACAAAATAGCTTTTTTTCAGTACCAGAAGTGGAAAATTCAGTGAAAACAAGATCTGTGATTTAATGAACAGTTTTTGGGCAAATGAAGTTATACATTGAAATAATAATATAAAATATGTATTAGAATTCTTGTTTGACTACTGTATGTTTCCCCTTTAATGTCAAGAGACTGATTGGAAAAGCAATTACTTTTACTCCAGGGTTGAGAATTTGCTTGGGATAAAATTTGGTGTTAACTAATTCGAAATAACTGGAAGGGAACTTTTTTTTTAGGCAGTACTAGTTCTAGCTGATATTTGGAAATAGCTGCAGGCAGCTGAGAGCTTCAGTGGCTGATTTGGGGCTGTAAAATATGCCAACATGAGAGCAGTGCCAAGCAGCTGAATGGCTTTTTTGTTTGCTGAAACAGCCATGGTTACATGAATGGTTTTTTAATGTATTTGGTGTATTCTGAATCAGGAGGGACATTATACAATAAAAAAAAGAGTAGGTAATGAGATGTTGGGGAAAACCTACTCTATCCAAATTTTTCTGGGTTTAATGTAAATAATGTAGAATTTTATCCTGAAAAGTGGCTTAATAAAGGCAGTGTTCTGAGACAGAGGGTAAGCAGATGTGGCAGCTCTGCTTTGAACTGGAAATCTTTGCCCAAGCCAGCCTTCTGTCATAAACTGATTATGTTAAAAAGAGTACTAGAAATGTGATTGTAATTTTAACTCTTTCCTAAATGCACAGAATATTTGACTCAATCAAGTAATAGCTCCTTCTCCTAAAAACTCAAAGCAGAGTCACATTTTCTACGGTGCTCTGCCCTGGAGCTCTTCACATGCAAGGATGTCAGCAGGTTTGAGTCAGCACTGCTGGATGGAGGAACCTCTGGAGCAGCAGCCTTCCAGCTCAGTGAGGTTCCCCTTTCACATCTGCCTCTCCTAATCTAATGTTGTCTGCTCCAAAGTCATCAGAGCAGAATAATCTCTTTAACCACAGAAAACTATGGCCAGCACTATTTACTTTACTGTCCCAGCAGAATAATTGGATATTGCTCTTTTCAGCTCCCTACTGGGTGGTTGTAATGATAGAGATGTGCACAGCTAAGAGCAAATCATAAGAGTTATAACCAAAACAATTCCAAGTGGAAAAAACTTACAGTGAAGGTTGTCAAATACTGGAACTGATTTGCCAGAGAAGCTGTGAAATCTCCCTCTGTGCAGACACTCAACTGTTCGAAGCTCTGAACAACCTGTTAAGAAATCTGGAATGGAGCAAAGCCTCAAAGGAATGGATTATTCAAGCCTGACATATTTCAAGCTTTAGTAGTGTTTCCTTGGAGGCAGTGGGCACACCTGCCCTGAGAGGACCTGTGTGACAAGATGGGCATGTAGTGGGTGTTAGGTAACATATGTGATTAGAAGGTCTTTAAAAAATTAAGATCAATTTAAATTTGGCCTGTAGCATGTTATTTATGCTCTTCTCTTCAGGCTAGCAGGTTAGTTTTGGTTGTTTCTTATGGGTATTCTTCATCAGATATATCAGAGTTCAACTGTATTTATCAATAAAGATGTGGTTGGCAAACAATATATGAGAGGAAAAGAAAACCCCTCAGACTGGCTGTGGTAGCTCACAAAGTGCAGCAGTGAGGAGCTCTGTGCTGGGGAAGGACAGGAAGCCCTGGGACACTGCAGGTTCCCCAAGACATTCTCATTTTAAGCAATAGCACCTTAGGGCACCTCTCACGCTACCTTTTTGGGCCAAGGGAGACAAAGTGAACTTGGATCTGGTTTCTTTTTAAGACTGCTACCAAAACTTAGCATTTCCCATAGGAGTACATCCAGCCCTAGTGTTGAAATACAGGGTTGGGAGTTGGCCTGAGGGTTTCAAGTTTCAAATCCCTTTTTGCCTTATTTTTCTTTTTTCCTCCTCAGAACTGTCTAACATCAGTTTCCCCACTAAAGTGTGTGGTATGGTGGGCTGGCCTTGCTCTTTTGTGTCTGTGAGTAAGCAGGAAGGAGGTGTCTAATTTTACTGTCTCATGCCCTTTGACCTGCATACTAATATGTAATGTAACAGAGATGGGAACAGCTGTAAATAAACAGAGTTGTATTTGTAAGAACATACCCAGAAGGCTATAATTTCAAATCTAAACCTCCTGACTAATACAGGATTTCTTCTTGACAGTTTATTCATCCTTTCTGAAACACTGCAAGAAGAGTACTCCCAAGAGGCTTCCCTCCATCATCAAGGTAATAGAATATCATCTTCCTAATGAGTAATTTTCCAACTGTTTGTACCCTAGACAAGAATGTTTGAACCTTCTCTCTGCTTGCCTTTGTACTTTAGGTAACAGTTTGCCTGTGCTTGAATATTCTGCTGAGTAGGAAAAGCAAAATGGATTAAGTTCTGCAATCCTCAGTAATCTGGCTGTCATGTTATTAAAAGTTTTGTGTTTGTTCTTAAATACCATGTGAAACCAAGAAAATATTAAGGAACGTTTTGTTAACTTTTGCTAATTGTTATATGTTATGGTAAGACTGCAGAAATATGAAAACAGCTGTGCAATAATCCCTAGGACAGCAAGAACATGGCCTGGAATACAGAACCCTTCATGGCCATGGCCAGCAGTGAAGTCCCAGCAGCTACTCAGACCTTGGGTTTGATTTATTTTTTAAATTTCTTTTAACAAAGCCATTAACAAATGGTCAAGCCAGAGCCAGATGCAGGGAGATTCATTATGAGATGGCCACGTGCCCATTTAGGACTTGAACTCCCTAAGTGACCATAGCAGGCCTTGAAGCAAAGATTATTTTCTTACTCATCATGTTCTTAAACTGTAACTCAGAGTTTGAATGAAGGCTGTGGGGCTCTATTGTGTTAACTCTCTGTGGCCCAAACTCACTTTGTTTTCCTCCCTGTTTGTTTAATTGCATGTTGTCATTATGGAAGAACATGTGTCCCACATTATCATTTCCTTACAGCCTGGGAAGGGCTGAAGTAGCTGCTGGGTGCTGCAGTGGATTCCCAGGCCAGATCAAGGGTGGAAGTCTGAGCACAACACACCAGTGACACAATAAAAAGCTTTGGTTTTGGCTGTTCTCCCATTTTTCCTTGTTATCCTTGCATCCCTGTTAATCTTCTGGGACATTACTAACTCCTCAAGAAATAAGGTTCTTTTTCTTCTCAAGAACTCAGCTTTGCTCCATGGCCAACACACAAAGGATAGAGCAGGACAGGACATGGCAGAGAGTAAATATTTTACACTTTTAGCACTAAACTGCAAGTGGAGATGATTTACTGTAGTCTGCATCATATTCTGCCACTCTCCAGCTGGCCAAAGTTCATTTCCTTGGATTATTTTTTATTTCAGATGGAAACCAACTCTGGATATTCCTCCACAGCTGAGCTGCAGAAGCAGGTAAAGGTTCCATAAAGGCTCCAGCTCATCGTTTTAAGGAAGCTCATGCAGGTGCTTTGGAAGGCTGAATGTGTTGAATCACCTTCAAGAGAAGTGACGGACACATCCTCATTCCAAACATTTTTGCATAATTAGGAGCTCATCTCTTATCACTGAAGCAACACTTCCCCAGCATTTTTTCCCTTCCAGTGGACTGCAGCTACAGCAGCAAGTGGGGAAGGAGCTGTTATCTATGCTTGGGTGGCAAGAGCCCACCACAGTCCCCCAAAACCAGAAGCTGTGCCACCTCACTGGGCCTGGTCCTGCTAAACTCTTATGGCCAGCTGATGTGCCCCAGTCTCTTTACCTTGCCAGCAGCAACCCTGTTCTGCACTTTGCCAACTTCTACAAGCACTTTAAGAGCAAGAACTCAAGCAATCCATGAATTAGTTTGGAAACTACTGTGCTGTAGCTGTTGGCATGAGGAGAAACAGGGTATTAAGCACTTGATGAACAAGATTTGTTTTCTATGTAAACTTCTCTACTTCTACATCTCATGTAATTATAGTGTGTGGGATTCATGTAATCACTTCATCATATGCCATAAAAACACAGCCTTGAAACAAGAGAGTTTCTAGCCAAAGGGCTGTTAAAATAGCTGAAGTGCTGAACTTTAGCTCCTCTCTGTCCTGTCTCAAAGCAGGACATGCACAGTGTCTGTGAGTATTAGGAGTTAAAAAGGTTTGAAACTCTTGAGCTAAGGGATGTTAAAGCTACTGAAACCTTATTTGGGCTAATTGGAAACTCTGACACTTGTAAGACAGAATTTTTGTTTGCTATGCTCTTCATCCCAGGAGAAAAAGGATTTATAGGATTTTTTAACAGATTAATGTTAAAAAGCTCAAAGCTTTCTATAACTTCTCTAACCTTTTTTTTTTTTTTCCTAAAGAATATGTAAATGATGGTCCAGGGTCTAAAGATTAAGAGTCTTACATCAGCATACATGGGGCATAACATGGATGCAACTGGAATTATGAAAGTGCTGAGAGAGCAGATCTGTGGTCCAGGGTCCAGCAGGCACCATCTGATGCTGGAGGAGAGGCTTTTGCCAGGCTGGCATTTGCACTTCAGTACCCCCAGTGATAACAGTGGCAGCTGATTGCACTGCTCTCATATCAACCCATAGGGTTCACAAATATCAAACTGTAGGGCAAGAGTCCTGTCAGTTCCTTCCTCCCTGTCTGCTTTTTCAATTTAAAAGAAAAAAGGAGGTGATAGGAGGAAAGGGTTGCTTGTTTGTTTTAGTAGTGAATGTTTCAATGCTAAAGCAAAATTCTGTCCTGGGACAAATAAATATTGCTTATAAGTCCTGGGCCACCTTTAATGTTCTGTAGCTGTTACAGAATCCAAAAGCCATGTAAAGAGGATTCCTTTATATTGCATTACCCTAAACCACCTGCATTTGGCATTTCTGAGAGCTGCCTCTCTTGTTTGTCCTCTCTGACAGGAGGTGAGCAGGACTGCAGCTATGAATCACACTGTGTTCACTCCAGTCTGTTTGTACAACACAACACCACAGTTAAAAAACAGGAAGGACAGAGGAATGAAGAAGACAATAGCTGGTTATTACACTATTGCATTGATTTAAAAAAAAAAAATTACATTGCAGATAGATATAATTCGTATTCACTCTTGAAAACCAAATTAATTGCACTCCAGTTCCAAGAACCAGTTCCAACTTGGACTAATCTAAAAGACAGATTGTTAATTATAAATTTGTTGTATATAAACAACTTTGTTTCTAATATTTAAATATTCAGATATATTGACTTCTGCTTTTTGAATATACTTATTCCTGTTAACCAGGTCATCTGAGCACAGCAGTTCTTGACTGCTGTGGGGAGAAAACACTGCATCCTTGGAGGGAGAAAATACTGAGGGAGGGAGGTGCTGGGATGGAGCACCATTCCTTATTGCTGGTGTTCCTTTCCCATGCTCTGAGTTATCCAGAAGCCTCTGGAGCTTTAGCCCTCCAGGTACTGAGCAGTATGCCAAATAAAGAGGGATAAAAATCCCTCCTTTCTCTCCCTTTGGTTATTCCAAAGAAATTCCACATCAGTCATGCACCAGATCTCTGTAAGCATGACAGATGGATGATTATATACAATATCCCACAACAGCTTTGTTATTGTGTTCTTCAGAGTGTGTGTGAAGCTAAACAGGCTGTCACAGGACTGCCTTCATCATTTCAAATACCAAAAATGCCAGGGCAGGACACAGCAGCACGTGCTCACTCCTGTTGCTTCTCACAGGGAAAGAAGCTCTCGGATGCCTTGAGGATCAGTGCCTACGTCTTCAGCACAGGCCTGCTCATGTTCACTGCCCTGGTGAACACTGCTTCTTGGTAAGAATGTTCAAACAAAGCAGCTTGAGGAGAAACTTTTCTGTGGAAAGGGGGGAAAGTGGATGAATAGATGGGCAACCAAGCGCTGTTATTCCCACAGGTTTATGCAGAATATAACTTTAGGCAATTTCTGGCAAACAGCGTGGTTGGACTTCTACGACCATGTGGAGGGAGATGAGTGGACAATCTTCCTCGTTGGTGAGTTGTAACAATGCTTCTCATGAGAAATCATCCATGTATTACATATAAAAGGGAGACATGGACAAGCTTCCCAAACTCACTAATCCTCCCACTGACAAGCACTGGCTTGGAAGGTACCCACAGGTGATGGGGTGCAGCTGTTCTGCTTTTGGGTGGGGTCACAATCAGGGTCCTGTACAGATTAAAAATCTGATCTTTTTGCTGCTACTGAAGTGGCTTCCCTGTGAAGACACTTTGCTCCTGTAAGAACTGAATAACTCAGTAGAACTAATTACTAAAAATGTATGTAAATTGAGTGAATTCTACTCTTGCTGTAGTACTTACAAAACTCTTTTCTGTGATTAGCAGCTGGTGAACAGAACTGGTAGGGACATTGCAAGGTTCTAGAGATCAAGTCAACCTCACCCTACTTGGATTTAAAAGCAACAGAGGCCTCCCAGCCACCTAGAAAAGCCTTTTCTTAGCTTCAGTTATGTCAGGTTTCAGCCTCTGAGATACTTATCTGCTCTAACCTCCTTCCCATTCTTTGATCTTACCTGGATGTCAGAATTTACCAATATTCTATTTTAAAGCATCTTTGGGCAGGGGACACACCCTTGGCACATCTGGGTCCCAGCAAGGCCCTCTGGGTGCTGTGCCAGTGTATTTTGTTTCTGATTTAGCCATAGTTCCCAATTCATTCACACATCTCTGCCCTTTCCTCATGCCACAGGGGCTGCATTGGTGCCTGCACTTGCTTTCTGGGGCTTCAATGGAATCCTTCTGGTGGCTGATATAACAGGAAAGCCAACTTTCATTACTCGCTATCGCATTCAGCTGGGCAAGAATGATCCTGTAAGTACTTCTCACTCTGCCTTTCCTGCTGGCTAAACACTTCCTGCACTCTCTTAGGCCAGGAATGGGGAGAAGAACCTGTTATGCTTTTCTCTTGCAACCAGGTAGGATTCCAGGGGGATCAAGTCAAGTCTTGTGTACCCACTGTAGGGAGGAAGGCAGATCCTGTTGTGAGGCTGCTGATTAGATCTGCATTGACTGCTTGTTAAAGAGCTGTTCCTAAAACTAACTGCCTTAAAGCTTTTCATCCTTCCAACTAAAAATGCATTGCTTCTTTCTTAGTCTCAAGTCCTGACTTCTCTTTTGCAGGTGGACAGAAAGAAATTGTGGAAAGCCATCTACACAGCGCTGGGTAATCAGTTTTTTGTCTCCTTTCCCATGCTTGTGCCCATGTTCTACATCATGAAATGGTGGGAAAACACCTTCAGCAAGGAATTACCAACCTTCCAATGGTTTCTTGTGGAGCTAAGCATTTTTACTGTAGTAGAGGAAATTCTCTTCTATTATACACACAGGTGAGCTGAGCACAGGAACAGGTGCTTGATTTTCCTCCATGCCTTTAAGTTTATACTCATACCCTACAACAGCAATAATCCTCATCCCTCTGTTCCACTGATCTTGTATTTATATAGGAAATCTACCCTCACAACATGAGGCCTTGGTGCTGCCAGTAAACAAAAATGGGTAGAATTTTAAAGGTGGAACAGCTTAAAAGCTAAGGAAGAAACAGAATAGGCAGTTTTTCATGAAGGATTCTTTGAAAAGAACAAGACTGACTATCCTGAAAGATAAAAATCTCAAGGGTCAGTGACTGATCTCTGTTCCCTTGCACAGCACTCACAAATCAGGGCCTGACTTCCAACACTGCAGGATTTCCAAACAATGATACCTACATTTGAGGACAGAACTAAAGGAAGGAAGACAAAAGAAGCAAAAGCAAACACAGTACTCTCAGAAATCTGTGGGTTTCCCTTTAGGACAAATGCACCCATAAAATGTAAATCCATTTTTTTACCAAGGACCCATGGAACTGAAAATTCTGATTCTTTGACAGTTGCCAGTAGAAAAAGTCAAAACAGTGAAAGCATAAAGTGAGTCTTCCCCCGATAGTTCTCCTAGATTTGAGTAAATAAGTAATTCAGGGACTTTGATTTATGGGATTTATCTGGCCTGAGTTTATCATAAGCCAGCAGACACATTAATTGAATAAGGGCTCAATACAAAGAGAGCAAAGGAAGCAAGGAATCCTACACTCTTATTGCCAGCTGCTCTGAAATCTTTGTGTTAGAGGAGACACAAGCAAGTCTCCTGCAGAAATTCTGTGTTCTGTTACTCCTTTTTTGCAGAGCTCAAAACCTGCCTTTCTGTTTACTCTGCCTAGGCTTGCTCACCACCCAGTGCTGTATAAGCACATTCACAAGAAGCACCACGAGTGGACGGCCCCCATCGGCGTGGTCTCCATTTATGCTCACCCTATAGAGCACATAGTAAGTGGATTCTCCCATGGTCACCCTCCAGGTGCTGTGGGCAGTGGGATTCCCATGGCATCAGGTGGAGTGGGAAGAGAAGAGAATTTGCCCTTAGAGGCTTCTTCCCTAGGAAGAGGAAGCTCAGCTGCCCTGCCAAGAAGCTTGGCTCTAGGAGGGTTGCAGTAATTGTTTATACTGGACTCCAGCAGCTTTCAGAGCACAGATCCAAGGGCCTCCAGTAGATAAGGAACTGACTGGACAGGGCTTCCCATGAGCCCCAAGAGGACTGGGAGCACAGACAGTGCTTTCAGCAAGAGATATGACAGCCTGAATGATGGTGTGGACTTGGAAATCTGTCAGGATTTTTGTGGTGGTTGCTGGCATCAGTGTTTGCAAGGAGTGTATCCCAACACCTTGCAGCTGAGACTTCTCAGGAAAACACATCCCACCTTCAAATATTCCACTTAAAAATTGAATCTCCTGTTACAAATAGTCCTGGGCTGCTCTGAGTGTCTCCCCAGCTGACAGTCTTTGGACAGCATAATGATTGAGGAGTCCAGCTGAGCTGTGCTGGTGCATGCAGCTGGGTCTGGGCAGCCAGAGCCATTTGTGCCACTGGCAGAACACAGTGAAGAGCTACAGCAGGGTTTGTCACATTGCTGTGTGTGTCTGCAGGCCATGCCCTTTCACAGTGAGGTTTCCCAAGGGCAGATTCAGCATTATTCCAAGGTGAAGCTGAAATTCACACCTCAGACTCCAGGGTGATTTACTGGGATCATGCTGTACTCACCCAGGCTTTGGAGTCATGTCTAACTTCTACTGCAGGCTTATGGAGTTTGGGCTATGCTTTGCAGTAGTAGAACTCTCTTATCTCTATTATTACTTTTATTAAATAATACTATTATCTCTATTATTCCTTCTTGGATGATTATGTAACTTTACTAAGGTGTTTGCAGAGAGATCTTCCCTTTACACTGTTTGCACAAAACAAACCAGTGTGATGGATCACCAGGTGACAATTCAGCTCCTAGAGGAGAGTCTGCTTGTAGTGGACCCATTGATGAGGTACTTTCTTCTCATTTCCAGGTCTCCAACACTCTGCCTGTCATGACTGGCCCGATGATCATGGGATCTCACATTGTTTCAATCTCAGCATGGTTCTCCATTGCTCTTGTAACAACAAGCATTTCTCACTGTGGCTACCACCTGCCCCTCCTGCCATCTCCAGAGTTCCACGACTTCCACCACCTCAAGTATGTCTGGGCACTGCTCAGCTTTCCATTCTCCTGCCACTCCACTGGCAGGGAAAGCTCCTTTCTGAGGGTCAAGTGGGTTTGCCTGACTCATGCTCCAGCAGAACAGCTCTCCAGTTCACCTGAGAGCAGGCTGAGTGCTGCCAGTCCTTAGAGCAGTTAAACTGGGACTTCAAGGCATTCCAGCCCTGTTAAGGACAGTTCCCTGCAAGGTTCTTACTAGAAGTTCAGAATACACTTCATGTCATCTAAGCACAGAGCCAGGGCAAGTCACACAGGTAAAATAAGCGAGCCTGCCTGTCTGTCCCTCTCCCATACCCTGGGATCAGTAACACTGATCAGATTACACTTTGCCCAGACAATCACCATTAACCCTTCCTGACAGAGATTCTCAGCCTCCTGTGCTGGACAGAGAGCAGTTGCAGCAGACTGTTCAAGGATACATACCTGAGCAGTGGAGAAACATTCCCATCTCCCAGTGTGCCCTACATTCACACATGCTGCCCAGAAATGTCTGTCCTGCTGCAGAACCAGCCCAGGGGACAGTTCTGTCAGCACATGCCAGGACAGGGATTGCTGCAGAGCTGAGACACTCTGGGTGGAACAGCTGTGCCAGCTGGAGCACATCTGCCCCATAGGCCAGGACAGGCAGGTCTTGAGAGCACATGGGGCACAGTGACATACATGGGTGTCCAGTGCTCCCACAGCTCTGAGCTGCCCAGGAGAAGCAGCTGCTGCTCAGTGCCACCATTTCTGGGCAATGATGGCACCAGAGAGAAGCTGCACAAGGTTCACCCAGGCTTTGACAGAGCTGCCAGGGAGACTGGTGCAGAAATCCCATGGTCAGATTACCAGGGCTCAGAAAGGAATGGAGAGAAAGGGCAAAGTAACCTCAGTAACTTCCAGTGATGTTTATCTGTGTTTGGTTCTCAGGTTCAACCAGTGCTATGGAGTGCTGGGAGTGCTGGATTTTCTGCATGGCACAGACAAAATGTTCAGACAGACCAAAGCCTTCGAGAGACACAAGGTCCTGCTCAGCCTCACACCACTCTCTGAAAGCATCCCAGAGCCACCCAAGAAAGAGGAGTGAACCAGCCCAGCAGCTCTTGGCCAGCCTGGTGATGGAGCAGAGTGAGAGACAATGATTTATGCCAAATAGTATTTTAATCAGGAAACAAATTCTTGTCCACACATAACAGATCATGAAGCTGAAGTTAAATATGCTGCTTGGAAACGACTGCACTTTTGCTGACATTGTTTTCTATATAAGACATGTATAAAAAAACCTGCTTTAGAAATCTGTTTTTAAATTTTAATTGTTTATCTGTTACTTGCACTGTCCCTTGGTTCCAGCTGCCTGTGTATGAGCCAGCTGTGTTCTGGGCCACATGGCTCAGGGTTCCCATTGGTCATTGGCCCACTGTCCCACAGCCCTACCTATGGAAACAAAGCCACTTCTCCTGCTCCTCTCCAGTCCCCACAACTGCACCAGGATGAACCCAGCCCAGTTACCTGGCCACAGTTCCTGGGGAGGGCAAGTCAGCAGAACAGAAAACCCAGGCACCACTGTCTTTTGAGCTTTTTATTTTTATACATTTTTTTTGTATTAAAAAGGAAAAAGCATAATTACCACAAATTACAAAGGACTAAAGCATTACTAGAATAATGAATCACATCAGCCTAGAAAGCAGATACTCTGAATAATATTAATGTTATAATACAAGCTCTCATTCAAGTATTTTACATTTTTCTCTGTTCCTTTTATACGTGATGATGATCCTAGCACATGGGTCAAAGATTATGTACTATCGACAGAGATGGATCATGTACAGCAGGCCGTATTAACAAGATTTTCCTCCCAGGTGATACATGGTCTGTGATGAGTCATTTTAAGTTTGTCTCTACTATAAATGCAGCTGAAGAAGGTTGCACACACTCTCTAGTTTTGGGAAACAGAAGGCTGAGGTTGGACACACAGGGTTTGAGAAGGGCCAGCACATGGAACCATCACCCCTTTAGCTCCAGGCGAACGAGCAGAAGGCTGCACTCGCTGGGATGCAGCTCAGTGGGTGCCTCTGAGCCACACATCCAAAGGTTTCCAAGCCCAGTGGGACCAGGACAGGCTGGGGGGGGAAGACAGGGAGCAGGGCTGCACCAGGGAGGCTTGAGAGACCCAGTGGTGCCAAGCACCCCCTCCCAGGAGGGGCACCACTGGCACAAGCCACCCTGGCACAGGGCTGACACCTGGGGAGAGAGCAGGAGGGCAGCGTGGGGAGCTGGAGGGAGCCCAGCTGGCACCCAGGGCACCCCCTGCTCCTCTGGAGCTTCCCACCAAGGGGATGTGCTTGTCACAGATACATCGGTCCTATGTTCAAGTGTCTGCAGAAAGTGAAACTGTAAACTACTCCTGGAAATGCTGCCCTCCAGCCACCCACTCCACACCACCGAGATGAACGTTTGCTTAGAAAAAGGAAAGAAACTATTTCATCTGTTACCTGTATTGGAATCTTTAAAAAAAGTCAGTGAGGCATTTAACATTAAGTGTAACAACCCTCTCAGGAAGAGCCCAGCATCCATTTCAAACAGTGACAAGTGACATAACCAGCCTCAGAGACAGGAGACAATAAGCATTGCAAACACAGCTTGCTACATTTACAGTTTTCCTTTTTTTTTTTTTGTTTTTTGTTTTTTTTTTTTCCTTTTGATAAAATAACTGGGAAGGCATTAACAGCTAGAAGGCCCCCTCTGCACTGCCACGTGGAACGTGGCAGGACACTGAGGTTAAACACATCACTTTGTTACAGTACAACAATCAGTCCCCAGCAGGTGCCAAAACTCAGGGACCCCACGGGCTACAGTGAGAAGGTGCCATCAGAGGTGCCAGGGGGGCAGCAGAAGAGATGGACAGGCAAAACCAGAGCAGCAGCATCATTACTTTTAAATTTTTTTCCCAAATGAGCACGGCAAAGCAACAAAGCCTCCTCAAAAAAACACCTTCCACCTCCACTCTGACCCCACACCACAGCTCTGTACCTGTTGCAGCCACCTGCATTCAGACAAGTTAACCTCGGCAAGGAGGAACTCCTGAGAAGAGGGGCAGGATGAGGAAGGCTCCCCTGACCCAGCCTCCCTCAGCCTTTCCAAAAGCAGCTGGGGCTCCCCCCAGGCTCTGCCAGTGGCTGGACACCAGCACCATGCAGCTCCATCAGCACTCACAGGAGCACGTGTGCAACCACTCAGTCCTCTAAAATTCAAAAAAGTACAACACATGGTGGAGGTGAGGCATTCAAACTAAAAGCAAGGCCTAACTCCCTCCTCTGCAGAAGGGCAAGAGCTTCCTCAAATGCAAACCCCCTCTGGAGAGCTGTCCCTTTAGCCAGTGGGGACATGAGCCTGGCTGTGGCCACTCGTGACCCAGCTGGGCACAGACCACACACACCCGGGGAGCTCCCTGCCCTCTGCTGCCCCCACCCTGGCACGGAGCAGGAGGGAACAGTTCTGTGCCCCCTTCCCTGCAGGAACACAGGGCTGAGCCAGCAGCAGCTGCCTCAGGCTGTCACATCCATCTCTGCTGTCCTGCACTGCTGTCCCATGACAGCAAAACAAGGCACACGGTCCACAAACCTGGAGGGCACTGGGACCACTGGGATTGCTCTTCTGACCCACCTTCCCCTAGGTGCACACACCAGTGTGACAAACCACTGACTTGGCAGAAGGGGAAGGGAAAACACTTCCATGCCAAGACTAGATCCTCAGAATCAGAAATCTAAAATTATTTAAAATCAAAATTTTGGGAAATTCTCTGGGAAATGTCCTACCTCTTCTACAACCCAAGCAATTCCACAGTCTGCTCTACAAGCAACAACTCCATAGCAGCAGCTCATCCCTCCCCATTTCCTATGAATTTGTTGCTGAAATGCAGACAGTTGGCTTCAGGAGAGCCACGCACACACGCCAATGAAAGGAGCACAGACACAGCAGCAAGGATCACCTGTGGCACATCCAGACCTGCCTCCACTTGCAAACAACCAGCAACACATCTACAATGTCCTTGATCGACTCTCCAGCCTCCTCCTCAAAAATCTGGGACAAACCACCTATAAATGGAACCTCAGAGATCTGACTCCAGCTCACAAGAGGGGAAATGCAGAGATAACAGTCACGGCCACAGCACTGTACAAGTGTTACTTTTGCCCATCTTGCCCAGTTCCCACCCCACAACCCCAGAGCACTGCTGCCATAACCGAGATGCACGGCCTTGGGTGGGCTGGCCAGCTGCACTCAGGCCTGGGAGTGCTACCAGCTGCAGGGTGACATGGCAGGGCTGGACAGACCAGGGCAGGATCACAGCACCAGGGAACAGCCAAGCAGCAGCTCCCCAGCCTCTCAAACCAGCTGTGCTTTCAATCCTAGCAGCAGTTTGTAAAGCCACTCCAGTCAGACCAGCCCACCTGCCCCCACAGGCAGGATCCTGGAGGCAGGGTCAGTTTGGGAAGGGATGGCCTCAGCCAGGGCCCCACAGCCCTGATGGACAGCCTGGCTGTGCTCCCCCCTTGCTCCTGCTCTCAGCTCCTGGCTGCTCCCACCCACCCACCCTGCAGCCACAAAGGGACAGCCCTGGAGAGATGATGACTGCTCCCAGCTGAGAGACACAGCTCTGGATCAACTGGATCCCTTGGGAAAACTGCTCAGTACCGGCTTGTGACTTTGCAGAAAGGGCAACACACTGAGCTGCACCCTTGGAGTGGTGCATTCACACTGCACACAGGAGCACAGCTCTGGAGCTCACAGGGATGGAGCCTGAGCCACAGCCAAGCCTGGTATCCCAGGGACCCAGCAGAAGGAGCAGGGTGGCAGCAAGGCAAGCAGATCTGGCTGGAAAGGGACACAACTTTCCAGTGCTACCCCTGGAGCATCTCCAGAGATAGCACTGGACATCTCTGAGATCTCACACCTGACACACGCCCCTCACAAAGGATCCAGCTCACAGCCAGAGTCCACCTGGTGCTGGGTAAGGATGAATCAAGTAAATGCCACAGCAGCTCTGCAGTCACCCCCTGCCTCAGCTGAGTAAGGAGCTACACGGTGTCATCTCAGCCCTTGGAAAAGCACAGGGGCTGTGCCCTGAGTGGGAGACTCCACGCAGGCGCTGCCACAACACAACACACAAGGAAACCCAGGCAAGAGCTCTCCTGTGCCAGGCAGGGCCCTGCTCACCCCTGCACAAATCCCAGCAGCAGCCCTGAGCCAGTGGCCGCTGTGGGACAGCATTCCCAGGGCTGCCCCACTCCCTGTCAGGCACAGCAGAAGCAGCCCTCGCTCACAGCCAGGAGCAGTGCCCCCAGCTGCTGGGACAAGCTCCCTGCTCACCCCCCAGCCACGCTGGAAGCACAGACAGGAGCAGAGGCACCTCCTGCCCAGGGAGGGCTGGGGGGTGTGAGCAAGGCCATGACAGAACAGTCGCTGTGGTGGGAACAAGGCTGCCACGGCACCGACACAGAGGAGCAGAGTCCTGGATGTGACTGCCTCAGCCCCTGCCCCAGGAGCCTCAGGCCTGGCAGGGAGGCTCCATGGCAGGGGAGGCCTCCGAGCGAGCTGCGGGGTCAGAGGAAAGGCCGCAGGGAAGATCAGCTCGGCAGCAATGCCGGGAGGAGTCTCTGGGCCTGGGGGAGCCAAGAGCCCAGTGCACCCCAGGGTGCAGGAAGCCAACAAGCCTCCCCAGTCCAGCTCCACCATAAGGCAACTTTTTTTTGTGTGTTTTTGGGGTTTTTTTGTTTGTTTTTTTTTTTTCTTTTTTTTCTTCAGTAATATTTCCAAGGAAGAAAGCAAAGGGAGATGTGTCTTTTTTTTAAAGAGTTTTTCTGTTGTTGTTTTAGAGGGGTTTGTGGGTCGGTTGTTTTTTTTTTTTTTATGTCATTTTTTTCCAAGGGAAAAGGAAGAGAAAAGCTCCTTCAGCAAAGTCCTGTCTTTGCAAGCGATGGGCATTCCTGGGGCAGCGGGTGCACCGTCCACACAGGCTCGAGTCCAGGTGCCTGCCAGCCTCCCAACCAGCCATCCTCGCAGGAAGGAGTCACAACGAGCCTATCCTCGGCAAAGGTCCTTTGGTTGACTTCCAAATTGTCCGTGACAGAAGGGAGAGGTGGACAGAGGGAGAGCCAGACCCTCGGGAAGATGAAGACGCTGGGGAGAAGGGAGCAGGAGAACGAGGAGGGCGATGCTCCTGGGCGGAGGCGGCGTTGGAGAGGCCCCGGCGCACGGGGAAGGAACGGGAGGCGCCAGCCGGGTCATGGAGGTCAGAGGCTCCGCAGCAGCATCGGCACACGCTGTGGCTTCGGTCCCCCACTGGGGGGAAACCTCGCTCCTCCGAGCTTCCTGAGCGGCTGCCCCGCCATCCATCCCAGGGGGACACACAGGGGACTCGTTGGGGCCACACAGAGCAGACTTGTTTTGGTAAATCCAGACGAACTTCTAGCAATAATTTAAAACTTGATATATATATATAATAATAAAAAAATCTCCCATTTCCAACCCAGCCAGAACACATTTGTTTTTTTTTTTTGAAGAGACACTAAGACATGAGTGTGTGCACAGGAGGAGAGAGAAGGGAAAAAGGTTGGGTCTGCTGGGAGCGGGTCTGGCTCTGGTCAGGGTAGTAATAGCAAAATGGTGTTTTGGATGCAGATCGTCTTTGCTTTCCAGCCACAAGAGAAGAAAATCGTGTGCGTTGAAGTTTCTCCCAAGCAGCCTATTCCTGGGACCCCACCTTCAGCTCCCTTCCTGTCCCACCCCCTCATGTCTGCCCTTCTCCGAGCCATTCCCACCACCCCACCCTACCCCCGGCAGGAAGCTGCAGCCTCTCTACTTCCCCACTGTCTGCGACTCTGCAGCTGATGGGGCAGGGGATTGCTGGCTCAGGTTTTTGGCATCCTCTTGTGCAGGCTGGCTGGGTGAGGCGTGGGCTTGGCTGGATGGGCACTGGCTGACCGTTTTGCTGGAAGACTGGGATGGGTAGCGCTTCCTGCCATCTCCCCCTGACGTCGTAGGGTATCTCTTGTGTCCACCTTCCTCCCCCATGGGTGGCTGCAAGAGAAGCACCCCAGTATCAGCACAGCCTCCTCCAAATGCAGATCCTGATGCCTCCCTTTGGATCAGGAAACAGCCTTCCTGCAAGCCTCCAATGCAGCTTCTCTCTCTCCCCGGCCCACACACATTCACCCCAAGCACTCAGCTTCCCTGTCCAAATTTCCTGCTGCCAGATTTGACAGAAAAACTGACTGACTTCCACAAAGTGACCACAATGGTGACAACTTGCTCTTAAGTCACCTGCTTCTCACACAGAGGCACAGTCCAGAAGTTTGGGAGCCAAAGCTGCACACAATGCTGGCTCTCCTCAAATCATCAAAGCTCCCTTTCCTCACCAGGGAGGACAGGCTCACCCAGCTCTGCTATCCCACACTGCCTGCGTTTGCCATATTCCAATCCTGCAGTTTGCTCCCGGCCTGGCTGCAATGACTGGGAGTGACAGTAGGTGTCACTGCCCCCCCTCCTGCCACCACTTGGGGACCCCCAAAATCCTCCACCCTCAGAGGACAGCGTGGTGCAGGAATTGTGTCTACTCACATCTACTCGGAAGTCCTCGAGGCGCTTGAACTTGCTGAGGTATTCTTGCAGTTTGCTGTTAATGTCCAGATTTTTGGCTTTGGAATATTTTAAGAAGGCCCAGAACTTTTCCAGCCCATAGAGCTGCCCTGGAGGGAAAAAAAAATCCAAACAATCCAGATGTCAGCAGGACAAAAGCCAAACAAGACACCTTTCCCCCAGGCTTCCCCACAAACCCTACTGTCCTGCTGGTGGGGACAGCCAAGGCAAGATGGAACACCTGGGGGGCATCAGTCCTGGGCAGCCCCACCTTGGGATGTCCCCAGGCTCAGCCCTGCAGGGCTTTGAGAAATCCCACAGGAAATGGTGCCTGCACAGGAATGCTCTGGCAGAGCTGCAGCCCCCCACTGCCCTCTCCAAGCCCCAGCAATCTTCACGAAGGTGAACTCAACCCTCTCCTGTGAAATGAGCGACAGCACATCCCAGTCCCACAGCACTATGTGGCTTCCCCAAAATGATGAGAAGAGGCTGAGAGCTCCACACAGCTGAGCTACGTCACTGCCAATCGCAGGGAAGCCAAAGGAGGCACCTACCAGCTTCGTAATCCTTGATGGTCTCTTCTTGGAAGTCCTTAAATATGTCTGGCCGGAATTTCTTCTCCAGGCCGTAGCTGTAGTATCTGAAAAGGCACTCCAGACCGTACCTGGGAAGGGAGCAGCACGTGCAGCTCAGACACCGCTGCACACAACACAGGGCAGCAGCAGGAGACTGAGAACAACCCCAGACCCACCTTCAAGCAAGGCAGAGGCACTGCCTCATTTGCTCCGAGCCCTGTAGAAGGCCAAACCCTTAAAAAAGGCCACTCTATCCCTCCCTCTCTTACCTGTATCCCTCCTTCCCATCCTCCACAGCCAGTTGCTTGAACTCCTCATACATTTTCTTGTTGAAGTGATCTCGGAGGAAGAAGGACCAGAACCGGAAAAGCGTGTTCATCTCCTGGGACTGACCAATGCCCAGTCGCTTTCGCTCTGTTTGGGGAAGAGGGGATGATTACAAAGCCAATCCTCCCCCAGGGAATCAGGGGCTCATGTGCAGGAGGGCCCTGTGGCATTGTGATGACAGCCAGCCCCAGCACTGGACACCATGAGCACAACCCATGCTCTCCAGAAACCTTGGGGACACAGCAGCTGCCAGCAGGGCTGTCCTGTAGGACCCTGTGTCCATCCCTGCCATGTTCCTGTCCCCAGCAGGGCAGAGCACACCCTGTCCCTCCCCTCAGGGCAGGGTCCCTACCATTAAGGCAGCGCCGCCGGTACTTGTGGTAGACGTGTTGTGTGAAGCCGTTCTCCTTGAGCAGCTCGTGGGAGGGATGCTGGAACTTGGGCAGGGACTGCGGGGTGCAGCCATAGCTCCCGACAGCCGGGGTCCCCTCCGAGGGGCTGGAGCTGAGGTGAGAGACTGCTGTCAGCACCCCTCCTTGACATCACCCAGGACAGAGGGGTCACACTCCACCCCACCTGTCTGTGGGTCCCACCCACACCTCATCGCTATCCAGGGCTTGGGACAAGAGCCATGGAGCAGTGTACTAGGAAGGGGACCAATGTTTCTAATCAAGACACATCTTGCTACTCTCCAAGGCCACAGATTTCCCCCAAGTCTTTCCAGGAAGGGCAGGTTTGATCCCTGGATGCTGCTTTCCCCTTCCTTCCCACACTCCCTCCCTTTCCCATTTCTGCCTCCTCCACGATCCTGCAGGCCTGTCCCTGGTACCTGATGGAGGCAGTCCTGGGCCTGTGCTCCCTGGAGTCCATAACCCAGCCCACGTGGCACTCCATCGGAGGGTTTGAACTGTGCCTCGTCTTCCTCTTCCGCGGAGTCTGCAAGACACAGAGCATCACAAATGTCCTTCCTTCCCCCTCAGGCCCCAGCTGGGAGCCCCAGCTCCTGTCCCCCAGGCCAGCCTGGTCCCACCTTGGCATCTATCGTCCTGCCCTCCTTCACCACGGGGTAGAAGCGGGGCGTCTGCGTGGGGTCCTTGAGCTGCGGCGTGCGCGGCGTGCGCGGCGTGCGGGCGTTGCGGTAGTTGGGCGATTCTGGGACGGTCGTGGGCAAAGATCGGGCGATGGTGGAAGGCTCAGGGACTCCGAAGAGCTTGTTGGCCAAAGCGTCTGTAGGTACTGCAGGGAGAGACCCCCACCCCGTGTCAGCCTGGGCTCCAGGCACGGAGTCACTGCCAGCCAGCAGATGTAAGCAGCAGGGGCAGGAATGCAGGGACACATCCCAGCTCTCCCACACAGGCTGCCTGGAATCCAGTTTGGCCACAAAGCCCAAATCCGAGCTGCAGATGCAAAGCTCCCCACAAGGTATCTGCTTCCTAGTGGTTAACAGCAGCAGCAAATCCCTGTCCCCAAGGACACAGCCCTGGTGTCACACAGGCAAACAAGGTCCAGCAGGCAGCTGCCTTCCAAGTACTCAGAGAGGGTCCAAGAGGAAAGCCAAATCCCAGGAACTACATCTGAGTCTGCCACAGTTTCCTCACTCCACTGGGACACCTCTGCTTTTGGGCTCCCCTTACAGAGCTCCACAGCATTCAGCTGGGAGCGTTAATCTGGGAATGATGCAACTCAGAATATTTATTCTGTGAACTAGATAATCCACTACACCTGTGACCCCAGTTCCTCCTCCCCAACTGCTACCCAGCCTCCAAGAGCCTCTCAGCATGAGAAGCCTACACAAATTTGGTCCCATCTATTCATGCCCCTTCTCTTACCTTGCTGGAACCTGGGGGGACCAGGAGGGACTTCCTGGTTTGGATCCACGGGGGGCTCTGGGGTCAGGGTGTCAAACTGCTCCCTGCTGATCATATTCACCTTCTTGAAGTTCTCCACCTCTTGCTGCATTGGAGGAAGAAGATGGTGAAGAAACCACTCACCCCATCACAACCATGGCTCTGCTTGAGCAACAGCCACAACACTGGGCACTGAGGGCAGTCACAGGGCCTCGGTGCCCAGAGGGCACTGGCTGCACAGGGGAGATGCAGCAGACAGAAAACTGGCACTGCACAGGCCACATCTGAGCCACTGATGCTGCCAAGCTCTCAGGGATCCCAATTAGGTTCACTAACCAGCATCTGCTTCTCCCAGGCTTTTACCAGCCAGGTCAGAGCCAGTGCAGTAAAGCTCAACATGAGCTCAATGACCCATTTTTGGCCAGGACCCCCTGCCACCCTCCTGTGTCCCTAGAGCACCCTCCCCACATCCTCACAGCCACACTGGCAGCAGGGCACAGCGCTCCCATGGATCTGAAGGACCCACAGCCCAACACACTATCTCTGTCACCCTAGGGAGCAGCACTGCTTCAGCAATGGGCCAGGTATCAAACTTGGAAGCACAGAGCCCAGCTGGCAGCTCCAATAAGTCATCCCACCTCACGGCCATGACTTCTGTCACTGAATGAGTCTATCCAAGTCCCTGGGAAGTGAGAGTCACCAAGTTGGGACCCCAACGTTTCAAAACAGCAGATGGGCTTTCTATAAAAAGCCCATGTCTATGCAAACTGACACCAAAATGGAGAAGAGCACAGGCCAAGTGCAGCCCAGCCACCTATGAATCTGTCCCAAACACACGAAGAATCCAACAGGCTGTGCCCAAAGCACAGGGCACTAAGGGCAGTGCAGAGACAGCCAGTTCCCCTCACAGATCTGGCACTGCAGCTGAGATCCTGGCAGACAGCAGAACAATGGGCCCCATGTTCCAGGTCACCTCACTACTGGCACTTTGTTTACCTGGCTGTACCTCACGTCTGGTTACAGCGCTGTGTTTATCCCTGGAATGGCCAAACATGATGCTGGGAGCCAAGAATCCCAAACACTGCAAGAGGACTAATCCCAGTTTAGCTGTACCCCATGAAGAGGCTGTAACCCACTGCCCTGCCCTTTTCACACTGCTGCACACGAGGCTCCCCACAGCCACACGGATCCCTCCCATCCTCAGACCAGCCACTCTCACCTTGATCTGCGAATACTCTGGCTCAAACTGCTCAGTCCACAGGTCCTGCTCATAGTAGTAAAGCCCATCATTGATCACCTTGGCCAGCTCTGAGCTCATTTTAGCCCTGGAGGTGTGGTTGCCAGTCCTGTCCCCGCCGGGGTGGCGGCGCAGGTACGGGGGGGTCTGGGTCACGATGAGGATCTTGTTCACGTCGCGGTCGTCGATCTCGTAATCCGAGTCCTCGTCTGACCAGTCAGTGAAGGTGTTCTTGCGCCCGTCCATCTGCTCCATCTCCTCATCGAACAGGAAGTCGAGCTCCTCGGGTTCATCTTGGTCCTTTTGCTTCTGCTGCTGTGGTGTCTTTGACTCCTCTGGTTTCTGCAGGTCAGGGGGCAAGGGTGACACAGGGTAAAGACCACACGGTGACACAAGACTCGGCTCTTGCCCCTTGTTTCTTTACCCCAGCTTGTCTGGGGAGAACACTTCATTTACACCACTGAGAGCAGCTCCAGAGGGGCTCAGATGGACACAGAAGAGACTGGGATACCACTCCCAACAGACCCTACTTGACTGAAGCCTGCCCATGTATGATCCAAGCCACCCAGTAACTGGGAGACTCCCAGTCCAACAGCTCCTACATCACTTACCTTGGGCCTGGCTGGGGAAGGTCGGGGTCTCTTCTTCACTTCAATCCACGTCTCTGAATCCAGGTCTGGCAGACTTGTGGACAGGCCCTTGGGCATTGTCTTCAGGTTACTGACCTCCTCTGTTTTGGTGGGGACTGGGCTGGCAGGACGTGGGGAGCCTGGAGCAGATTCTGGAGCCAACAAGAGCCACAAACTGCTTTAGAGGGAGGGAGGGAACCCGGGGGGGGGGGGGGGGGGTAGTTACAAAGTACCCAACCATTCTGGCAGCATGGCACAGCCTGCAGGACTAACTGGCCCACAGTGGCCACAGTTAACCAGCACAGTGCCCACAAGGGCATTTAACTGGGAATCTCCAGTTAAAGCTATGATGCCAAGGGTGGCCACAGAGCTTTGCAGGTGACAGCTTCCCAGACATACAAAGCCCTAAAGCAGGTGTTCTGCTGCTCTCTGGGAAACCTTCCAGAGAGAGTCTGGAGCCAGATCTTCTGTCAAAACTCTTATGGCAGCACCAAGATCCTTCACGTGGGCTCTCAGGCCCAGCCCTGGCCTCCTGCCAGCCCCCATGGGATGAGGTGACAAGAGCATGGGAAGCCCATGAAGGACAGAAGACCCTTCTGTAGCACTTTGGTGACAGCTCCACACCTGTCGCCCAATTTGTGCCCAGTATATCCTCAGCCAACAAAGGCTGGATTCACAAGTGTCTTCTGCTCTGTCCAGCAGCTGTAGACTATTTCGAGGCACACCAAGAGACTTTCAGCAGGACTGCCTATCTCTGAATCCCTTCAGCCCTAACAGAGGACAGCCACACTCAGTCTCTCACACTGCCCCATGTCTGGAGGCAGCAGCATTCTGGGAGTCCAAGGACACCAGCTCTCACCACCAAGCAGAAAGGCAATGGCAGAGCACTGCCCTGGGAACATTCCTGACTCTCAGGTCTCAGTCATGGTGCAGTCCCAGCACAGCATCCCACACCTCCAGGCACATTCCCCCAGTGCTCACCAGTCTCTTTCTGGAAGCTCTGCCGGGGCACAAACTCAGGGCAATTGATGAACTGTGAGAAGTCTGTCTGTGTGTAGTCTGCCATAGGAGGGCCAGGCAGAGCCCATTTTTCTGGCTGCTCTTTTCTCCTGATCTTCTCATCCACGATTTCCACCACCTTGCTGTCCTTCAGAGCCTGGAACCAAGCAGTACTTTGTTAACTTAGGGCCTTGCTTTGGCATATTGAGGGGGTCAGCCCAAGCCATTCCTCCCTGGGAGGACTAACAGGGGGCAGGAGCAAGTAGAGAACAAGAGAAGGCTCCACTTGCACCTCATCCACAGTGAACAGGCATTACACAGGGGTGATGAGAGGCAGATCAAGGGGGAAAGGTCCCCTTTCCTTGCCCTCACCTTGATGATGAGGCTGATGTCAGTGGTGAGTGCCTGCACACGGTGGAAGCTGGCGATCAGCGTGATGGGCAGGAAACCCTCCGAGTCCATCTTGCGCCGCAGGAAGAAATCTCGCTCCAGGTTGTCCACACTGAAGTAATATTCTCTGCATGGACAACGTGTCAGTGAGAGGAAGCCCCAAACCATCATTCTCTGGGCACCCCCAAGGAAATAACCCACACACACACTGAGGGGAGCAAGCCTGGGGAGCCCAGACATCAACACCTCAGCACAGTCAACACGTCAGCTCTAACCCTTCCCATGGGATTGGCTGCACAGTCCCCACCACCCAACAAGGACAGGAGGTGGTGCTCACATCTGCCTCTTGATGTAGTCCTTGAGCAGCTCCTGGTCCACACTGTAGAGCTCAGCACTGCTGATGTTGTCGAAGTAGTAGGTGATGTTGCTGGCGTACTTCTGGGTGCGGGAGCCGTCCGAGCCCTCGAATTTCCGGTACCCATACTGGTAGTCAAAGTGCCCTGGGGGACACCAGGGTCAGCACAGAGCCCCTGGGGTCTGCCCTGCCAGATGGGGGTGGACTCCTGCACAAATACTTCCCTCTTCCTGAGGATCCCCTGAAGCCCACATCCCTCATCCTCCTGCTCTCTACCTCTGCCACAGAACAGCCAGGAACCCTCTTACCCAAGGATAAATGGGCAGCCCAGCTGAGGCACAAAGGCCCTATGCTGAAGCTGCATCAGTGTTAGCACAGACACTGCTGAGTCAAATGTCAGGGCAATGCTCTCTCTCACCCAAGCCATGAGTCCTGCTCTGGAGTCTCATTTGGCTCTCAAATGGCATAAAGCCTTCACAAACTATCAACATGCTTCAATTCCTGCTCACAGAGGTATTGCAAGGGGCAGAAAACATAAAAAAAGAGCTTAGTCTAAGTAGCAGGAAGACATCTGCTTTTATAAAAACACTAGTATGACTTATTTGCTTTGTTAACAGCAGCTCAACTTACCGGCTGCAATGACCTGCCAGAATATTCCCCAGTATCCCTGGAGTGCTCTGCCCTCCCCAGCCCACTTTAGAGCCCCAGATCTCTCAGGCACAGAGACACAGAGCTCTGCCTGCTGTGCCACTCTCCCTGCAGTCACAAGAGCACACACACACACACAGTGCTCACCTCCTCTGCCACGGCCCCTGCCCCTGCCCCGGCCGCGGCCCCGGCCCCGGAAGGTTCCGCGCACGGCGCCTCCCTCGCTCTTCACGCTGGAGGTCTCGTCGTGGTCCTGCCAGCTGCGCTCGTGCTTGTTGTCAGGGTGCCAGCCTGCAGCAGGGAGGAGAGGCAGGAGGGGAGTGAGGCCATGACAGCACCTCCCCTCTGAATGCAGGACAGTTGTCCCCCGGGCCCCAGGGCGTGCTGTGCCCCGTGGCCAGGCCAGGAGGGTCCCCAGCCCGAGCCCCACCTTTGAGCTCGCTGCGGTTGTTGGAGGGGTGCCTGTGCTGCTCGTTCTGCCGGTTGTTCCGAGAGGCTGTTTTGTCCCTGGGCACCTCTGACTTCATGTCTATCTGCAGAGGGACCCACTTGTGTTTGTTGCCTGCAAAAGGACAGGGTTTGGGTGTGACACAGGTTCAGAGTGCAGCTGCTTCCTCCCCCACAGCCCTCACACATGGAGGGGAGAAAGCAGCAGAGCCTTCTGGACAGACCCTGTGCCCTGACACCCCTCCAGGCCTCACTGGATGCAGAACAGCTCTGACCAGGACTCTGAGACATGGAGGGACATGAGTCAGAACTTGCCTGTGGCAATTGTCACAGCACTTGTCCTTCCTCTGCCCCCTTCTGCCTGCCCAGGCTCAGGCCAGACTGAGCCTACATGTCAACCACAGCTGATAAAACCCACGGTGAAGGACTGTTCTGTGCCACCATGGAGCACACAGGAAGGCAGGCTCCTGCCCTGCCCCTGCTTGGGCCCTGCTCCACCTGCTCCCACCAAAATGACTCCTGAAGCCTGCAAACACCTTTTCCCACAGCTGTCCCTGCACTGGGATCATGTCCTGCAGCAAGGCCTCCAGAAAAGGCAGAGGATGCTTTCACCTGCCTGAGGGTTGGGAAGGGGAAGAGAAGCTGAGCCTGGAGGACTCTCCCCACCAGCTCCTGCCTTACCTTTCTTCTTCTGGGCTGACTTCTGGTTGTCATCATCACCATTTTTCTCCTCCCCAGACTCATCAGATTTGGTTTTCAGGCTCTCTTTGCCATCGCTCCCATCTCCCTTTTCCTGCTCTTTCATGTCTTTCTTGACAGGCAGTTTCCGAAGGGCCGGTGCTTTGTGTGGCTGCTGGGGACACAGCAGGGCAGGAAAATGTGAGAGGTGGGAGTAGTGAGGAGCTGGAGGCAGCCCCCAGCTGTCCCAGCAGGAACAGACTTTGCCCTAGGCTGGGTGCATCCCTGCTCTGTACCTCCCAGAGCTGTCCTGTTCCTAGGGAAGGGCTCATGGCTGAGCAGGGCAAGGGCTCATTGAGACACCAAGATGGGCTGACAGAAAGACCTTGTGCTCATGGATGGGTTTGTCCTGTAAAGGACCAGACTGCCCCAGTGACAAAAGGGTGAGTGACCACCTTGCCCTGACACACAGCCAGGAGCTAGCAGAGCAGCACCCAAAAATAGAAAGGTTTCAATGACACCCATGTCCTCAGCAGGGAGGAAGGGCTGAGCCCCTTCAGCACACCAAACCCTTCTCATGCATTTTCAGTTCCTCCTGTGGAGCTCCTGACCTTGGCCCAGTCCCTTCCTGCACAGAGCAGCTCTGGGAGCTGGCCTACCTGCTCCAGCCAGCCCAGGGTTTAGACTGGGCTCCAGGTTCCCAGAATAGCACTGAGGGAGGGAGGGAGGGAGGCAGCCCTAAAAGGAAATTCCCTGCACACTATTCCTGGCTGCCTCTGCACTGACACTCAGCACCCCAAATGGCTCAGCCAGTGCTTCCAGAGGGATAGGGAGGTCTGCAAGGGCCTTATCCTGCCCATCACAATGGTTCTGTGTTCTCACCTGGACACTCTTGTGGGCTATTTCTCCAGGTGTTGGCCAATTTGTGGCATCACCAAAGTCACCAACCTGGTACCAAAGAGAAAGGTCCTGTTAGTGCACAAAGCTGCAGGTGTTCCCTGCAGCAGGGAAGAATGCTTTCCACCCACCACTGTCCCACAAAGAGCTGTCCCCAGGAGGCTGGAGGGGGACACCCACACTGCACATACACAACCCCTCTCCCCTCCAAAGCAGGAACCCTGAGCTAATTCCAAATAGCTGCAGACAAGTTTATGTCCATCAGACATTGTAATGAGGCTGCCACCACTCCTGCAAGCTCCCAGCCTCTCACCAAATATTCTGCCCCAGCAGCAGCAGCATTTGGCAGCAAGCTGCCCAGGGTAATTCACTCAATTACAGGCACCATCCCCTGCACAGGGAAAGCACTCAGCTTACAGCATTCTAAATACACCTGATGCAACTACATTCCACTGAAGAAGCTCTTCCAGCTAGTGGCAGCCACAGCCAGGCACAGCCCCAGTCAAGTGCCCAACTACAACCCCCATGTGCTGCCAACAAAGCAAGGGCATGGTCTCAGAGTGGCTGAGAAAACTCAAGCAGGTGAAGGAACTCCCTCATTCCAGTCACCCCATGGCCACACGGGGGAACATCAACTACTTCTCTGCTGAATAAATGACCTGCTCACTACCATCCTTTCTATGTCTTTCAGGTTTCAGAGGACCTGCAGGACAGAGGAAAGAAGTCAAACAGCTGCCCGGGTACCAAAGGAATCATATTTGGGCACAGAAACTCCTCCTTGCCCTTGTGGGATTGTTATTTCTGAATTAATTTGGAGTCAAAGGAATTTTTTATCCCTCAGGAGATCACATCTTTACAGGCAGGTGCCATGCTCCTCTGCCCAGGAGGCAAATCTCCTGGGAAAACAATTCCAGTGCAGGGCCATGCCTGTTTCACAGAGAGGAGCACCATCCATCCCAGGGCCTTCCTTTCTCCAAAATGGAGCAGAGAAGGAAAGTCCTATCAAGCTGCAGATACATCTCTACTGGCTGCTGAGAGCCAACACCAACAGCCCCTGTCCCAGCTGTGCCCCAGAAGAAACTGTCCCTCCATCACCACTGATTCCCTGGAACAAATTGCCCTGGTTCCTCCAGAGGAGTGGCTTTGTCTGACATCAATTTCCCTGGTTCTCTGTGTGCCAGGGAGGAACAGACTGCACAAGGAAGGACAGAGCTGCAGACACACCACTGTCACACCCTGCCTACACCGCAGGGCTGGGCACAGGCTGAGCCCACAAGGAATTTGGGGTGTCCTCACAGCAGGGTGAGAGGTTTGCCACATCCAGGACTCCTCCAGGTGCCTCCCTGTTAGAGGAGAGGTGAGAAGGTCTCCCCTGACCTAGCTGGGCAGAAAACCACTCACAGCAGCATGCAAGACCCCTAAAATGCTGAAGAGGAGATGGAGTACAAGGACAGCACATCACCCTCTCCACAAGCAAGCTTGTGAAGGGAGGGGTCTGCTCTCCAGACCCTCGAGAGGCTCATGCAACACTGACAACTGCACCAGAAACTGGGAGCCAGTGAGAGGAGAGCAGGCACAGCCTTACCTTGCTTCCTTTCCTCTGTCTCGGGTTGGCAGCCCTCACCACTTTCGCTGGAGTTGTAAGCTCTGCAAGAGAAGGACAACAGAAGTGTTAAAACACAGCTGAGGGCTGTGAGTGGGAGTGCTGGCTCTGGAGAGAAGTGGGTAGGAAGCAAAGCAGCTCCCCCTTGAGCAAAGGAGGGCTAACAGGAAAAGGTAAACAGAAAACACAGCCAGCTCCTGACTCGAGTCTCAGAACTGCCCCGTTAAGATCAGAAAACTCCTGACCAATCCAGGTGGCCTGGAGATGGACTTTTAACCCCATGCTGCTGCAGGATGGCAGTCCCTGCCTTAGCTCTGCCCTCCCCAGCCAGGGAGGAGGGGGCAAGGAGCTCAGCTCATGCTGCAAAGCACCCACAGAACAGCAAAACAAACCGGCCCTTGAAAAGCCAATTCCCATCACGGTGCCCTGATGCTCCCCAGAGAGCAGAGCAGGCCTCTGACAGAGATGTGCTAAAGTCTGTGGCTGCTGAATCCTGGTCTGAAGTCAGACATCCCAGCAGGGACAGCAAGTTCAAGAGAGGAAATGTACAAAGAGAATGAGCCAGTGCCTAAATCCTGCTACAGCTGAAAGTATTTAGGCACTGAAGCACCTCTGGGGTGTTTTAACACATCAGAGTGAGACTGTTGGGGTTCACACCACCACAGACCTCACAGCAAGTCAAGATCTCAACCTCACCATGGCCCATCTTGGCCCCAGCTCACACACCATCTCCTCACAAGCAGAAAGAGGAATTCAGCTTGCTTTGTCCCCCAGGTCTGGCTGCAAGGTCTCTGATCAGGCTCACAAAGAGACAAGCAAGAGAGCAGCACAGCTCTGCCAGCAGAAACCAGAGGGTTTGTGGGGTCTGCTTCAGGACACTGGTGCTCCACAGGGGGAGGAGAGCCCACTGGGCCCTGCCCCACAGGGCAGCCTGTGCCAGGTGCCAGGCTCCTGCAGAGAGGCTTTCTGCTGACTCACTGGCTTTGTTCAGAAGAAAAGCAGCCCTGACTGGGGTAGGGTGAGGGTGGGAGGATCAGCACAGGCTATCAAGGGATGCCCCAGGAAACACCCTGAGTAGCCTATTCAGCTCTGCTCAAAGCTGCCTTTGATCTCCTTGCAAGGCTGGACAACTTTGCCTGGATGATCAAAACCGGTCCCCTTCTGAGCCTCCAAACCAGTGATTCATCCTGGCCTTGCTCAGAGCTGGAGGCTTTGAAGTGTCAATAAGGCAGAGTCAGACATGGCAGGACAGAGCCACGTGCACTCCCCTTCCCCAATTCCTTTCTCTACGGCTCTTGCATGAGGATTTCATGTCCAGAAGAGTCCAAACTCTCAGCTGGATCCCTGAACCCTCCCCTTTTCCCCCAGGACCTCCCCAACCCACCTGCAGTGCCTCCCTTCATGAGCAGCAGCAGTCCCACGTGTCCCTCATTTATTCCATGTGCACTTCATTGAGAATCCTGGCTTCATGGCACAAAGCTTGCCACAGGGCTTTTAAACTTCCCTGCTAGTGTAGGAAGAGCCAGCACTTTCAAAACCGCCCCCAAAATCCTCCATTCAACGCCCACAGATGTCACCAACTAAATATGGCTTCAAAAGGCACCAGGAGCTACAGCACAAACCCAGAGACACAGAGCACCCCTGCCTGCTCCAACAGCCCTGATGGGACTGGCACAGCCTGATCAGGCTGATCTCTGGGGCTGGGGACAGCAGGGACAGCTCTCAGCCTGCAAGGATCCCACCCAGGTGCCTGCTCCCACCACAGCACAGCCCCAGTGTTCACAGCAACAGCACCCAGCCCTTTCCTGCAGCTGCTTCACCTCAGGAGCCCTCAAGGCCATAGATGTTCTTGTGCTTTTTTTTGGGAACCAGTCAAAGAGAGGGGCCTCACAAGCAGCACTGAAAGAGGAGCAAGGGGCACAGGCTGCAGGGGCAGGTGCCACAGACTCCATCATCTCTGCGGGGGAGGGAGGAGATTGTTTGAAACAAGTTCTGCAGCTTTCCTTATCTGCAAGATATGAACAGGGATCCCTTATCTCGCTGAGGTGCTGAGAAGACCAATTAGCATTTGCAGAGCACTGCAGAAGACAAAACACAAAAGGCTGCAGTTCAACAGGGAAGGAGGCTGTGGAGCATGGATGGAGCCCCAGCAATTCATGGTGGAGACCAAAGTAGGAGACCAAGAAACTGTGACTGTGCTGGTGGACACGTGGCAGACACAGCATTTGCTGAGCCAAGACCACAGCAAGCAGAGGCCATGCATGCCTGGCACCCTCCAGGGCACAGCAACATAACCAAGGGCACCAGCAGCACATCTTGTGGTCCCCAGCTGAAAAGAGCCCTGCAGGAAAACCTCACTGCATCAGCCTGGGGAGTGGAGAGCAAGTGAGTGCTGCTCATCCCAGGCAGGAGCTCAGCACAAGCACTGACAGCCACTGGATGCTGCCCTGGTTCACAGCCGAGCCTTTAAAAGCTGCTGGCAGATGTCTCAGACCTCTGGGTGTCTCACAAGTCTCCTTTTGCATCTGTTTGGTGGCAGTAAGTAATTTCAGTTGCACTAGCAGTGGCTGACCACCTCCTGAAAAACAGGGCCTCTCTGTGTGAGGGGACAGACAAAACAGCTGCAGCAGGAGCCAGGGCTTAGTGGTGTGAGGCTGGCACAGGGACAGCGGGCAGGGAAGCAAGGAGCAGCTTTGCCTGCAGCCACAGAGCAGATGCTGGCACAACCAAGAACAGAGCAGCAGGTCTTGAGTTTTGATCTGCTGCCTGCAGCCAGAACCTGATCGTTTGTCCAGCCATGGGGTTGCCCAGACACGAGGAGATTATTCCTTAGCAACCAAGGGGAGGGACAGGTGGGAGCACCCACAGCAGCCCCAGTGCTGCTATCACAGCCAAACCCTTCCTGTGGCTGTGCCACAGCCAGAGCCCTCCCTGGCTCTGGACACTCACTCCCAGATGCACCTGAGTGCTTTCCTGCAGCCCACACCTGGCTGGGACACAGAGCCCTGGGGTGGGAGGCTTACAGGGGCATCCAGGTGAGCAAATGCCTCTTATCCTTGCACAAGGACCAGAGAGCCAGAGGCACAGCAGATCCACAGCTAAATATCCCTCCACTCCACCAGGGACACGTAACACAGGATCACTGAACTCAGCCAAGGAGACATATCTACTAACTTATCTGGGAAAATGAAACCAAACACCCAACAATTGGTTTTCTGCCTTTCCTTGCATCCAGTGGAATTTCTAATGGAATTTTAGAGAAGGTACATGAAGAGAGGGAATAAATCTGCAGTGCTGGGCAGAGAGCTGGCATTACTGGAGAAATACCTGTACCTATAGCAAGAATGCTGTAATGGCTGCTCCAGGTGTACCACTCATGTGCAATGCAGACAAGGGCTCCAGCAGCAGCTGGGACAGCCTCAGAGGGCAGCCCAGGCTCCCAGCAGGAATGCAGAGTCCTCATCTGCCTCAGTCCCTCTGGGAGCCTCTCAGGAACCCTCTGTGCCCCGAGGGTGCTGAGGGCACCTGGGCTGGTCGCCTTTGCAGCAGGAGAGACACCAGAGACATGGGTAGAAGATAAAGGGCCGACTCTTAGCAGGGGTTAATCCAAGGTTTTATTGTAGGAGTCCCAAAGGAGCTCCTGCACCTCAGGGGGCTCCTGCCCAGAGCCCCGGAGATGTGCCAAGGTTACATTTAAAGGGAGGTGGAAACCCAAAGTAGAGAACATTTTACCAACCAATGAGTGACCCTAAGGGATGGGTACTGGGGAATGGACATTTAGGACAGCGTGTGGGGCAGGGCTTGGGGGGCTGACCCCTGGCCAATCACTCAACAACCTGGACTGAAGCTTCTAGATGGAAGGGATGGGATGCTGAGTGATTGACAGAGAGCCAGGGTGGGGGTTTGGGGATGATCTCATCCAGGGAGAGGGATAACACAGGTAAAGGGAGGGGGGTACAGTCTGGGATAAACCGTTTGGGAAAAATATGGGGATACAAAACAAAACTACTTCAAAGTATTACAAAATATAAAAACGCACTACAACACTCCTCTCTGGCACACTGTCCCTGACACAGCACCCCCTCCTTCCCCAGCAGCCAGGTCGACAGAAAGGAGCCATCCTGCTCCCTGCTCCCCAGCCTGGCACCTTCCAGAAACTGCTGATAAAGGAGGTTCCAAGCCAAGAGCCCGGACTTTGTGCTGCAGAGGCTGAGGCAGGGGCGCATGCTCTGTGATGCAGCTCCTGATGGGGCTGCAGGAGCCAAACCAGTATCCCCAGTTTCCCCAGAGCCCTGGCAGGAGCTTGAGGGCTCTGTATGACACAGACAGCCGCGTGCCCAGAGGTCCACCAAGATCCACTTCACTCTTCTGTCTCCACTCTCCACAGAACACTCTTGGCACATGTGAAGACTGTAAGTCATAACCAACACAACTGGACACCTGCTCTGGCATCGAGGTTTTTAGCTGAGAAAAGCAAGTGCAGCTTGGACAAGGGTGAGCTGAGAAAAATGTTAAAAAGTGTTTCTGCGTGGGATTATCTGTTTTCCCAGGAGATAGATAGCTCCTTCAGAGTCATTTTGTGAGGGCAGGAGAGTCCCTCCTGGGGTACTGACATGCAGGAAAGTGGGGGTGAATCAGCACCAACCCTCAAAGAAATTCCCCTAAGACAGACCCAGCAGGGAACCCACCACAGGCAGGCCTGCCAGGACCCCACTGTGGCTGCAGGAATTCCCTTCCTGGCCTAAAAGAATACTTAGGGAGCCAACAGCTCCAAAGGGGCATCCCCACCTTCCCAACATGGGTAACTCAGGCCACCAAGCCTGTCCCTGTCCTTGCTCCCTGCTCAAGGAATCTCTCTCCAGGGTGACCTGATGTGCACAGCAGCAGGGCCATGACACAGATATGGAGACTCCATGGCACTCATGCACTCAGTGCAGGACTCGCATTCTGAGGCTGCCCAAGCCATCAGAGGACACAGCTGGTGAGCTTCACGTCCACCAAGAGCACACAGGGACATCTGCAGGACCAGTCCTGCAGGCCAGAT